TACAAGACAAGCTGAGTTTGGTTTCTTCAACCTTTTTAAGTTTGGTAAAATCAACGGAAAAACATTATTTTCACTCCAAAATTAATGCCCAAAATTGCGAATTTTCGCGTAGGATAATCCCACAAAAAAAAATTTTCCGGCAGAAATGACTGATGCTGGCAGAAAGACCCAAGCCTTGACTATACCCGAGTAAATTATAAAGAAAATTCTAGTACTGTAATTTTCTAAACAGTCCACGGCGCGAGGGGTTGCAAATCCACCCCTACGAAGCCACAGAGCGAAAACTAGGTCAAACGGGCGGATTACACTTGGCGCGCAAGGATACCCGGAAGTAAGGTTCGGAGCCAAAAGAAATTTTCACCCCAAAATCACCATTTCTTACACTCTTCAGCCATGTTAATGTTTAATGATACTTCGTGGCAGTTTATAAGAAATGTCACCTCAAACTTGGACCCTCAAAACCCTTTCGTCACTTTTTTACAACGGACTATCACGGACCCCGGTCGCGGAAGAACTGGGGTGTGCACCGTTAATCACTTTCATTTATACTGTCTAATAATGTGGGTTTTTTTCGCAGTTCGTGAGAACGTGTGTTCGGGAGTGCAGAACTCAAGCTGAACGAAGCATAGGACAACGCTGGACATGAGTCAACGAATCTTTGTTATGCAACTGGTAGAAGTCTGAACTTTGTTGGTATTCCCATAGCTGGGCTCCAGAAAAGTTACATTTAAGATAAGGATCAAATTAACTGGTAGAACGCCAAACACAGTAGGAAGACATCTGTATCCTCTGATGACAGTCACTGTGTCGTAGCCGGGCCGTGCCGTGTATTAAACGTTACGCTAAGATTTTTGTACGCAGTTGACTCGGCTTGACACGCGATTCGGTGTCTCATAATATGATTTCTAATATTAGTTATAGCATTATAATAATTTTGATACTCGACAGTAGCGCATTTGTTATCAAATATACGGAACATCGTTACATGAAAAACATAAGACGTGAATAATTTATTGCTGTTCTGGGCGAAGGAGTGTTAGCGGTTTGATGAGTTCACGGTACAGAAGTGACCGTGAAAACCGTGAACATATCAGTATTGTTAAAAAATCAGTAATTACAGTATTCGAGTTGAACTCTGGGACTATGTCAATATTCTGTGATGTAATCTTGTGACACTCTTCCTCACATGCAACGAAAAGCACCTTGCTGTGTAGCTTTTTCTTGTACTTGTACTTGCCTTTCTTCCATTCCTCAGCGATGAACCTTACAAGTGATTCACTTGGAAGAACAAATAACTAATAAGTCCTACAAGTATTCATTTATTGTTCACCATTAACCTTTGCCAGGTTTTGATGATGATTTAAACTGATTAGCGTCAAAGCACGGCTTGTTTTGTGGCTACGTCTTGTAGTAAGTTATGTCTGAAACGTTTCTTTATATTGTTGTATAAAATAGTGTGGCTTACTATGTCAAATGTTCATAATAAATTTCAGTATTGTTCATTTAGACATTATCACATAAACCAAAATGTACATTTTTGGATAGAAATAACAAAAAATATAATTTTTTTTTATTCAGAACAACGAAGTCATCAGCATTTAATAGGCAGAGATTCGTGGCAGTTGTTAACTTACATGTTTGTACCGAATTTCAGCAAAAGTGCTTTATATATCATGGCACAGGTGTCAGAAATCTACATTTTTAGCTAAAAACACCCAAATAATGCGAAAAATTACAAACAAAATGAGCTGCCCTCATATCTACACTCAGATACTTCACTCAACATCGTCAGGAAACAAGCATTCCCCACAGGTATCCCTCTATTACCTTTTATGAAGCCGTATAGAAGTATTATCCTCTGCGTTGCTAGGGAGATGTATTTTCCTTAGCAACGGTTACCATGGAAACATGATACGAATTTCTGATGCCCTGAAAATGGACAGTTTTCCACCGATGAAAATTTTCTTCACGTTTTACTTATGGTATGCACTACATTTTACTGGGAAAGCAGCCCAGTGCCTCCTTAGCAACGGCCCTAGCAACGGCTTCCCACAGAAGGCCTGTGGGAATAGAACTTTTAGATACTCATAACTCCAGTTTGGATTGATGGATTTTTACGATTTAAAGCTTAAAATGTAGGGAAAAGTGTAACAAATTAGATGAATTCATGAACCCGCCTCGAATATGCAATCTGTATATTTGACAGGTTTTGAAAAGTAAACATTCCATTTTTTTTACCAATTTTTACCGAAAAATCGAATTTCAAAAGCTCATAACTTCTCTTAGAAATGACATATCGGAACAAAATTGACATTTTTGTAATCCTTGGTTTCTGATTTATTACTCCACTAAGTTTAAATCTCAAAAACATCCATATTTGATTATTTGCCACTCCCCTTTCAATTAAAGTAGAAAAAGACATGGTTCGTGTAGGGTCAAAGTTCAAGGTCAGATAACAAGGTCAAAGCTGGGCACTCAACATGGTTATCATGCATAATGATCAACTAGAGGACCCAACCTTTCTAAAAAACTAAGTCATCCTTTGTCCCTCTGTTTGGTAACAAATTGTCATTTTTGGGGACCTGGCCCATGGACTAAAGGTCTCATTCATGTATTACTCCGAGTGTACCCCCTAAAAGAGTGCCAAGTCAAAAACTAAGCGGCTGTATGAACGCGTGTTTTTATTGGTGAGAATTTCCCTTTTAGCCATCCCAACTGATGTAAAACGTCAAAGCGGTGAAAGCTTGTTTGTAACTGATGAAATTAGGACGTAATTGTCGGCAGCCGCGCGCTAGGTCGGACGTGCACAGTCCAGTGTTGTGAGTTGTGCGGTCGTAGGTTTGCACCGTGGGAGGGCCTCTTGCGGGCAGCCACTAGGTGCAGTTTGTATTTCCCATGGTAAAAGGGGATTGTGTGTATAGAGGTCGTTGGCAATTTTTTTATGAGATGTAGAGTACGTGTGCTCAACATAGCATGAAAGATATCGATTGATTTAATGTAGGATCATAGGGAACACGGTCTCGTAAGTCACTCATTAATGCATGGTTTCTAATGTATGGAAAAAACTCATGAATGAGACCATAAGTTGCAGGCTTTGCTGCATGTACTAGTAGCTTCCTGCAAGTGAGTAATGATCTAACAGGGGGCGCTGCTGTACCAGGACAGGTAGTGGATAATCTAGTAAAGAAACCCTGCATGTTGTTCCCTACAGCGTTGGTTTGTAGCGACCCTGGCATTCCCAACCACAGTAGTAGGAATGTCCGTGCAGGTCAGGAGCTGTTTCCGGGTGCCGTCTTGCGGTACAACTGCGATGGCGGCTATGCCATGGTTGGCTCTGACAAAATGCAGTGTCTGGATAGCGGGGCGTGGCTGCCTCCCGACCCCCCTGTGTGTCATGGTGAGCCGCAAGATGTCATATTTTTGCATGCAACGTTGCAATCAGAAAAATCAAGTTCAACTCAAAGTCATTTTTTTTAAATCACGAAAGAATTCCCATACTTGATATGTTGCACCATAATTGAACTCAGATCTACATTTTGTAATGCACAAGACCATCATAATTAGAGCACAAAAATCAATAAAAGATTCTTCTCAGATGGTAGATTTGTGATCCGTGCTGGTGTACCATATCAATTATCACTACATGTATACAGTATGACTGAGTCTACGGTGTCTACAGTGCACAGTAACCAAAAAAAGGCATAAATACACTTTGTAATGTAATCTATATGATGTATGGTGACTTGTTATAACTTAGAAGTATATATTTGACATGTAACGTTAGAGTTTTGTGATGCCATAGACTAATTAATTATTGCAAACAAGAGAGAGATTTAAGTTACAGCAATATTTGAAAATTGGTATGTAATCAGAATCAATTCAAAACATTTTAGCTGACCACATATTTCTCGCCTGGATGGTGCTATCCTATTTGTATACCAGGGCCCAGCCCGGGCCCCATACTCAAATTAGGGAACAAATAAGAAAGCCCCAGTGTATGCACTACCCAGGTTACATGTACATATTTCAAAATGACAACAAAGATTTCCTGTTGGTTAGGCAAACCACACAGGTGAACTGTTCAAAAGTCAAATGATAATCCCGGATTAACTTGATGCATCGGTGTCTCCTACCCAAGAATGTGTCCTGGCATACTTCAGGAGGCATCATGCTCATCTCTGATGTGTATGAAACAACCCAGGTGTCCCCTCTCTCAATGGGAACACTTGTTCCATGATGACCTCTTGTTTTGGTGCTTGTATTCAGTGTCACACCTGACCTTTTCTAGAGGCATACTTGGGAAAACATTTTTCATCCTCTGGTATGTTTGTAATATGAAGGATGCTATTCTTCACTGTCAGAAAGCTAAGGCATTTGGTGTTACACAAGCATGCCATAATCAAAGAACACAGCGAGTAATTATGCAGGATTCATAAGCCACAGGAATTTTTTGCCTGTGCAGTTGAAATGTATCTCATTATCAATGAATACCTAATCATTGAAGTTTAACAGTGATGTCTTTGTTATGGGGCTGCATAGTGACAGTAAAACATTTCAGTTATATTAAATTGTTCATCCAGTAATGTACAGTAGATTCTTACTGGTACAGTGTATGTCAACTTCAACCAACTCCTTCAATGTACAGAATAGTATTGAGTCGTTTTTATAGTTTTTCCATAGTTGTTATAAACAAGTTTTTTTTTAATATTTAGTAATAGACAAGTCATCTAAGAAATTTGCAATACTTACAAACATGTCTGAAGTGCTTTGAATTTCGACCAAATAATTTTTGCCACATACTAAGCTGGCTTACCTACTACTTTCAGTGCTGTTATTTACAACTTTAAAAGTAACACAGTTTCCTGAACACAGTTTACTACAAAATTAAGACATATCCTCTAGATACTGCTACACTGGTTTTGCTATGCCATTACATGAATATATTAATCATAAATCTATTTGTATGCCCTTTTACTAATAATCGTTCATACCCTTTGCAGCCTTAGCCTGCAGTATCCCAGACAACATCCCCAATGGGAAGTTTGGGATCATGGAAAAGCCTGAAACTGGAGACCTCCCCTACCCACAAGGCACAGTGATCCGGTACAAGTGCAACAGGGGGTACAGACTGGTCGGGCAGGAGGAGAGGACATGTGAGGGGGGGCACTGGAGCGGAGAGACTCCAACATGTGGTTAGTATCATTACAAAGTCTGGGGAAAAACAACAACAATGAAAACAATACTACCGTGGTACATGTACATGTATACTTGCAAAATATATAGAAGACTCCCTTTGAGACATTGTCAACAGAATGATTCTATGCAAGAGTTTGTTACTTCACCAAAATGCAGAAGAGGGTGAAGCATTGTTATCTGTCTGTGTGTGCACAATGTACATGTAGCATTGCCTGTAGGGGGTGAAGTCTGTCATCTCTGATGACCTTGTTTGAACCCTTTCGGTGGCAAGACAGTATCCATTACTTTTTAGCCTGAGAGAAGGTTGCCGGCCACCGACGGGTGGGGGTAGTGCCAATAAAAACAGCCATAATTATTATATAAAAAGCTACTAATCATTCCCCCACAACCTCTGCTTAGAGAGTAGTTTGAACACATTTTTGGTCCCTAAACATTCAGACAGATGCGGGATGGGCTTATGATAATGGGATAATCAGTCCGCACCTCCTACCTAACCATTTCTTTTGGATTGATAAATTCCTGTGGTTACGGAAAATTCCACCGTCAGACTCTCCCATCCACCCACCATGAGTCAGGTTGGGGTGACTCTAGGACAACGTATCCTCCTGACCTACTAACTAATGATTCACAAGGTATTGACGATGGCAGGAAGTACACAAATTACACAAATGACGTCTCAATTACAAATTAGAGAGGCACAGATACATGTCATTCAAGAATCATTCCCAATCTCCATTGTATGACATATTATGCACCTGGATACAAAAACAGGTTGTTGATTGTTACAGTTGGGTTTGAATGTTTGAAAATTAATGAACTGTACACTTGTCAAAATATCAATGAAGTGTTAAGTGATTATTTGACCTCATGAAGAAAAGACATTTATTTGATATCTCTATTATGTAGCATACAAAATGTAAATCAGGGCTAATCTTACATTAATGTTGCCATATTTACTTTTGGAGTATCAACTATGAAACGCAAACAACTCATTAGATTCAAAGCCTCAACTGCATTGTAAAACTTGCTTCGAAAAACAGAACTCATTTGTATTCATATCAACACCTGTTGTTTTGGATTCCCTCAAGCAAGTTGTAAGGGCTTCTCAGAAAATGTGAATCAGATGATATATTGGTTAAGGATCAGCTAACAAAAGTCAAGGGCCGGATCTGAAAGATTAGACATGATAAATGGTGCTGTTTCAGGAGCACCAATAGAGCTACATTTTGTTCAGATGTCAATGCTACTGCCAATTGATTGTATGATTGTAAAAAAGCTGCAATAGGTTTGTAGCAGAAAACATTGTCCTCTGTACATGCAGCGCAGCATGATACTTAAGAAAGGTATCATACCAGTGCAAAGTTGTTATTGAGGTATATATATATATATATCTGATTAATGATCAAAATTCACAAAAGTAAAAATGGATGTTTTGACTTTTGACTTGCTTATATATAAAATCCATCTTTGTACATACAATATATAATAATAATATAGCATTTGTCTGCTCCACTACTTTGGCCTCATCTCCAAGCAGATATTGGGGTAAAAGATCATAACATTTATTGATGGCAGGGCTTTTGCAACAGTCCCTCAACCCAAGAGATGCCCAAATACCAGAAGATATTACCACAGCATCTGCTTGGAGCTTACTGACAGCAGATTTGCATACTGAGTAGCTAATAAAATGGGGTGTGACAACTACACCCTTGGTTCTGTCACTTGTAATGTCCATATCAAATTTTATTGACTGGAAAGTGTGAATACCATGATAGCAAAGCCTACCGCTAATTCAATTAGCGGTAGCTTATATCATAAATACCTCCCCTAGCTTCTGTCATCTGTAGATATGCCTATATCTTAAATCCATTTTATCTAATCAACTGCATTATAACATAATAATATAAGAGAATAACTTCCTTGCAAATGAAGATTGCCAACTGTATCATTCATGTCTGTGTTTTTTTATTGCCCAACCTTTGCTTTACTTTATTTACTTTACTTACCCAACTTCTACTGCAGGCTTCTTTCTTTGAAAGCCTTCTTTCCCCTCCTACCTTGGAATTAAGTCCAGGTGAAAATAAATTAATTTGCAACTTATGCTAATGGTGCTACACATGTATGTAGTATAACTGCATGTTTTAGTAGCTTGCTAGTATTGGTACTTGATTTTGAAATTCTTATGTTGTTATTGTTGTTTACCCCTCAGTGCAAATATGTAGTCACTTTGATGAGATCGACCATTGCCAGATCAACGTGGTGAGTTCCCGCTGTATACAGAACTCCTACTGTTACAACGGGACCATCGTGGAGTATCACTGCGACCAGGGCTACTTTCAAATGGGCCCTTCTCGCAGGGCGTGTGTCAACGGGCGCTGGACGGCCATACAGGACGGCAGTTTTACCGGCGACGATACTCCGCCAAGATGTGGTATGTATTTAGCATCTGATTCAAAAGTTCTGTTTCTGTTATATAGTTGGGTAGTCATAATTCAATAAATCAAAATTGCCAGTTGCTTGTAACTACTCTTATCAATAGGTATTGTTAGTCTTTTGCTTGTGGCAAAACCACTAGCATTTGATGTACATGTACAGCACTGGTTTACAACAGCAAATTGAGGGCATTCTTGGGAGAGTCTGACTGTCGTGTTTTACAAGTTACAGCTCCTCTTGGATATATCCTCTGTAAACAGCAGAAGAAAGAAATGACAAATTGTATGACAAATGTGATCACGCATTAACTAATTAAGTTGAAACTCTGAACAGTAGTTTTGAATTGAAAATCAGTAAACAGAAACACTGACAGTTGAATTGCAAACCAATACATCAATACAACACAACGCATCTCTCCTCCTTGGCAGGTTTCCACATACCTGTGTATTTCTCACAACACGGCCATTGTTCTAGATACAGGTGTTAGTCGCCTTGGGGGCGTTTACTAAATGTGATCAGATCGCACCTAAGGAACAATGCAACGGTCAGGGGTTAAGACGAGATTTATCAGCAACCTAATCTCCATAGACGTGACCTGAAATTAAGATTAAAGGTGTATTAAATGAAGAGAGAGATGTCTCTTCAGGTATGGATTAAGGTGTCAATCATTCCTGTCAAATGCACATGTAAGGAGACAGATGTCCACAATGCCACTATTCAAACATTGTTTTGTTATTACTTGATAGTGCTTAAACATGTGTTAATGTATTGCTTTCTTGTTGCACAAACATTAGATATTTGCATAAGTTAAAGTTATATCTCACAAGTCTTACACCATTCAGTAATGTCCAATTCCAATGTACTGTTACTTGTTAGGTTTGAAAAATGTTATATCCATACACTCTAAAACAGAATATGGTTGAGGCAGAGAAATTGGTAAGCGTATAATGTTCATGTGACAGAGGGGTAATGCATTCACCTCTGTACAAAGCTCACAACAGCGAGGACTTCTAGCCTCGACTCACCCAACAATTTCAGGGTCATGGACCAAGATGCCTTTTTCACAGGGGTGAACAAAATGGCTTTGGGCATACGGTTGTTTAAAGCAACGTTGGTCTGAAGTAAATAACTGGAGGAATGTCATTCGAGTACTAGTACATTATGTACCACTGGAAATCATAATAGTTCCTCTTACAGAAAATCTACTAATACTATTTCATATTACATGTATGCTTTATAAGTTGGTTAATACGTTTTTTGGGGTCACCAAGCTGCAGTATTAATATTACATGTTTGATAGTGATGACAAAAAGGGAAATAATAATTCTAACTTTTGATTAATCTGTATCTTTCCATCCTTGTCAGTTGCCGAGTGCCCCAGCCCCAGTCCCATAGAGAACGGCCTGGTGCTGAGTGGAGAGTCTGACCTGAAGGGTCCGTTCCTGGAGGGGAGTGAGGTGACGTACCACTGCAGCGGGGGGTACACTCTGATTGGTCCCACCATCAGGAGGTGTACCGGTGGAGCCTGGACTGATCAGGACCCTCACTGTTGTAAGTGTTCCATCAAATAAACTGTTAATGCGATGTGAGGTTGCGTGACGTAACGGCAGAGTGCTCGACTCAGAACCAAGAGGCCCTGGGTTCGAGTTCTGACATACCACCAATCTTGTGCCCTTGGGAAAGGCACTTTACATGACTATCCTCACTTCACTCAGGTGAAAATGAGTATTGTATTGTCCCCTATGTTGGTGGCGGCATTAATCTTTAGTGTGAAAAATCTTTAGTGTGTCCCAACCACATCTTGTGATTACATGTTGGAATATAAAATGAATAGTTATAACTTATATGACTATTTGTGTTTATATTTGAAATTTCACAAAAGGTAAGGAGCTCTTTGTTACAAGTTGTGGTAATTTGGTTGCCAAAACTGTAAAGTTGAAACAAATGGTACTTATTAATATCATAGGAGAAACATGGTTAAGTTTGAAGCCAATGTTTTGTAACAAAATCATCATAATGAACTTTAGAGTAAAGCTTGTTTCTAGTGTGGAAAACATTCTCTTTAAACCTGGTCAACTCTACTGTACACACTTAATCTTTAACCAGCCGACCAGACCTGTGTGCTGCCTCTATGGTTCCGTGAGCTACAGGAGTGAGGGAGAGACTACTTGGCTAGTAACATGTTGCCTTTTCCCTCCCACCACCAGGGAAAGTGTGTGACCCACCGGAGACCATCACCCATGGTGATTATGCCGACCACAGACAGACCTACCGAGAGGGTGAGGAGGTCCAGTACTACTGTTCCCCCAACTATCGACTGGACGGAGACTCCATCAGGGAGTGTCTCTCTACAGGCTCGTGGTCTGGGATGCTGCCGCGCTGTGTGTGGGACCCCACAGCACAAGGAAGTAAGTACACATACACTACACATGAACAAAAGCTCAAACAAACAGGAAAAGATACAAATTGATTGTGTCTGTTCTGTGAAAATAGATTTCAAAACAATGACTTTTTCAAACCATTAGAAAAAAGTGGTTCCTTTAAATTTGTCGAAATTGCATGATAAACAGGTATCATATCATTTCATAGTCAGACATACTTTGACTATGAAATGATATGATACCTGTGTTAATTGGCTTTTTCATAATATGAGTGCACCATAATTATATGTCTACTAGCTTGTTAACCTCCACCAGGCTTCACAGACTGGTAAGATCCATTTTCTGACTAATGTACTAGTCATCTGTGACCTTCATTAATAAAAGGGCAGGTAAAATTGAGAAGGTCACATGTAACTGACGGTGTCAATCAAACCGTTGTTTCACACAGAACCATGCGAAGCACCTCCGCAGCCTGTCAACGGTTACCACGAGAATCCGGACAGAGTGTACTTCAACCCGCGGGAAATCGTGCACTTCTTCTGCCACGATGGGTACAGGCTGGAGGGGAGTGAGACGATGACATGCCAGCCTAATGGAACATGGGGAGGGGGGCTGCCCATCTGTGTGATGAGTGAGTGGACTTTTACATACTTTTATTTTAACAAAACTAGATTTACGTTTGATTTCCAGGACCAATCTTTCTTCCATTATCTCAACAAACCCTTGCTTCCCTCTTGGCTGAGTTCAGCCTGGTTCTAATGTGTTCCATTAGAAATTATCAAAATTGCCACTCTGGTCCGTCAAGATGGTTGAATGATCATAATTTTTAGTCCCCAGCAGCAAGATTCCATCTATGAAGGAATGATTGACACTGGGGAAAACACTGAACAGAATCATTTTTGTGTCAGTGCGGTTGAACAGAATCATTCCTTGAAAAAAGTCCTTACACTAATGCTTGTTGTCATACCTTTTTTTTCACCAGATACCCACAGCACCCATACAGACACTCCCATACCCACGACATTTAGCGAAACGTGGAGCATCGTCGCTGCCTCTGCAGGCTCGGTTCTTGGCATCCTCATCATCGCAGTCGTGATCGTGGCGTGGCAGTGTCGTCCCGGGCGCCGCCGCCTGCTGACCGACTGCCCGCCGGGACACCCGTTTTACTTCATGGACGATAGCGACCAAGTGGGTCTGCTCACCATGGACCCGGTGGCCCAGGGAGTACACATTACCCTGCCTTCTTACGAAGAGGCCTGTCAGGAACAAGGTACACAAGAGCCGCCGCCCTTCCAGGCAGTAGTAGAGGAGGGGCTAAACCACACTAGTGAGGGAGGCGGGGAGGGAGTTCAAAACAACCACCACTCTTCACCAAACTTTCCTAACGCCGGAGAACACACCCATAGAAGCCAAGTCAATTTTGTTGCAGACATGCATTCACTACCTGGAGCCACAGTGCCAGAGATGAACAAAATTCTACGGGAGATAGCGTAGCTTCGGTGGAAACAGCGCCGCTGAGTGAAGAGTCCATGTCAACTTCCCGTCAGAGCACGTGTGGAAGTCTGTCATCCTCAAAGGAAAGTCTAATTGAGGCAGAAGGTAACTAGTGTTGTTGATTGTTGCAATATAGTTTGTTTTCCTACAGTACTAATAACCATTGTAAGGATTGAAAAATGGGATTTGACTTCAGACATAGTATTATCCTGTGTTCTTGTATACAATGTAATATTGTATTTTAACTGTGTTGTACACTATTATTTATTCCAGATGATGCTCTGGATAGGCAGTTGGAAGCCATGACACCCAGGTTGACCTTTGACACTCAGGACGCATGATGCGCAGCTCAGGTGTACAAAATACTAACTTGGTAAAATTGCACCTTTCAACTCTGACCTTTGAACCTCACCCTGTTCCTTTCTCAGGGCAAAGGTTAGAGAGACAGAAACTGGCTCTATGTCATGTGTGTTATGATTATTATGTTGTGTTACTATAAATGGTGAGAGCAGCCGTTAAACCGCTTATGAAGATAACTAACTTGTGCCTGATAGATGTACTTTAATTCATTTAGAATGTATCAAAGGTGACACGTGCTGGTGCTCTAATGAGCTTGCTTGATAGGAAGAAAATGAAAGGTCTTACTGAAACCTCCAATGTCAAAATCACTCACAGTGTTTATATCAGCTGGGAAAGTTAAGGTCTTTGCTGTGATGATTTGCAAAATAGTTTATTAAGAAAAGAAGAAGAAGAAATGGAACATTATGTATAAATGTATTCTTCTATGTTGTGTTACAAACACATGCATGTAAAACGATCCAAAACAGCAGGGGCTTTACCCAGAGGGCATACTGTATTTAAGGCAGGTTGACTGGACATGTCACACAATTGCCGGGTCAGGTTTTAATAATTCAAAAGGTGAAACACAAGGTGCTCAACAACTTAACAAATAAATAGTTAGCCCAAATCAAGGCTTGTTGCCGTCCCTCGTAATTGCAGGTTTTGCCTGTGTTTTAAGACTCTATAACGAACGGTTGTCAGAAGGTGATAAAAGCTTTGCTGTTACAGAAGATAGCCTTAAGTGCACTTGCTTGACCTCCAAAAGCTGAAGCAGCCATAATTGCTGTGAAATTATCATGGCTGTCTACACCAATACAACCCTATAGCAGCATCAAAACTTTGAGTTTTAGGGTTGGCGTTACATACTACTTCCATAAGGGAGCGATTGTTAACTCAAATCATATAGGCAAAAGCAATGAATGAGATTCATAAAAGCTTTTCTTATATATTAATCAAGTTATGTCTACACAATTATTGGTGCAGTTTTCAAAACACACGCTGTTAAAGAACATACAAGAGTTACAATTTGTTTTAGTCATCTGGTGGTATCTATG